CAGCCATCTGGGCAAGAGTTAAAATTATTTTTAGGTTTTCCAATTTGTTCCAATCTAGTTTCATTTTCTTGGCTTAAAGAGATAATACATTCAAGAATATTCTCTTTTCTATTTCAACAGGTAACATTTCAAGCTTAGAGGCACTAATATTTGCAATTTGCTCATCAAAAAACTTTCAAAGTGATGTCTAGAGCTTTTCAGGTTTGAAGTTTCTCACACTTCAGAAGCACGTTTTGGTTGCAAATTGGTATTCTATTCTAATACTTCACAGTGATTTAAAAATCATATCAAGGCAGACAGCTGCCAAATAGCCTGTGGGCAGCAGCAGTTTAATGTGGCTCCATCATGTGTCTGGACAGAATTTTACGTTTAATCACTGACTGCACCCTTCAGGGCTGCAATAGAGAATCATCTGTTGAGATGCTATTTCATAAAAACACCCAGTAAAACGTTACTGACTCAACTGTCAGGAAATGTAAAGTGTAAATTAGTTAAGAAAAAAAAGGGGGGTGAAGTGGGAAAAATGGCCAATTAAAAAACAGCAGGTAATCTAATAGTAAATTATAGTTTTTTTTAAAAGTGTAAAACGTTGCGTTTTTCGCTTGAAATATCTTCTCTCCTGCTTTCCTTCCTCTGTTCCTCCCTTCTGATAGCTGTTTAAAAAATAATTTCTAAAATCTTCTCCATGTGTAAGTTTAGCGTCACTAATCAACACTAAGCAAACTGCCTATAATCAGAAGCTGTCACTAGATGAACACACGTAGAAATAGCCAGATGTTCTAAAGGCATAGAACACAAAGTCACATATGATTTTCCTTTACTATGATTTAAAAAAAAAACTGTAATAATTAAAATCACCTGGCTTTAACACCATGGGAGGAGGCTTTTCCCTTTGCCAATGGTTTCTTTCTACCAAGACATAACCAACTGCTTCCAAACTAACAGAGTGAGGTGCTTACCTGCACTCTTAGACCACTAACACTTTTCTACATTTTCAGAATTGTTTCGAAAGGTTAAAACCCAAGTTAGGAGAAACACAGCAGAGTCAAACCCCGGTGATTCTCTTTTCCCGAATCAGGTTTCTCAGCCACTTAACACTCTCTAAACACTCAGCCTTCCCTTGCACACACTTGTGTATAATGCTTGAGTTCCCCATTAACACTTAGCACTACCACCTGGCTCTCAATGCAAACTTCTTTCCAGTAGTCAAGATACACCAAATTCTAGCAATCTCTGAACGTGACGTTAAAAACAGTAAATGGAATATACAGTTCTTAAGTAGACATATGAAGCTGTTTTACCAGAGCACAGCCAGCAAATTGTTATTAAGTGTTAAGTGTACTATGTGAACAGGGACACGGCTTTATTGGTTTCCTAGTCTCTAAATCTGTCCAGGAAAGAGTAGATCAATTCAAAGGCCTCTGAAAGGCAAAGTAAAATTCATAAAGTTTTTTTTTTGAGCTATCTCAATAAAAGCACCATCTATCTCCTTTATGATCCAAATTCCATGACTGGCAAATTGTATATGAACAGACAACTGATGTAAGACACAAATAATCAGCTACTTGGACGTTAATCCTCACTAATAACTAGGGAAATGCAAATAATACTTCTAGGTAAATGAAATTTAAAAAATAATCATCCAATTCTATAGAGGTTGTGATAAAACCGATGACTACATAATTACTCTAAACTGATATAATCCTTTTGGAAAACCATATCAATATACACAGCAAAACTACAACACTCATTTACACTCCCTTTGTTCCAGAAAGTATATTGACAACAACAACAACAACAATGATGCTTAAATCCTTTATCCTAGATTATACTGCTCTTAACAGATTATTTCCACAGAAGTAAAGAGTTCTAGGCACATGGATTTTAGTTGTCGCGAGGCCAGGATAATGATTTTTTTTTTTACAAAGCGAAGAAACTTGGAAGCAACATAAATGTCTAATATTAAGGAACAGTTTACTGAAAAAGAAAAATTTAAATTCTAGACTACATGCTGCCATTAACATTGTAACTAGGAAGATTTTTAAGTCCTTGACAAGAAATGGGATGCAAAAATGCAGAAAGAATTATTTGCCAGTGGATAAAATATGAAGCATCCCAATTATACAAGGAAAGTTTTGGAAAAACAATGTAAGCCTATTATTAATACACATACTGAAAGTGAATTTTAAAGTAACTTTATAGAGAAAGTATCATTTTCTTCATGTAAGTATAGCTATATGGCTGGAAAAAATAAATGTATGACTGGAAATTAAAAAGAAAATATAAGTTCTTGGTAATTAGTACTATGCTACAAACTTTGTTGGAAAAAAGTATAAAATCACATGATCAAAAGGCAAAGTACTGGGGTCAATGAACAGTGGTCCACAACAGAAACACATCACACCCTGCACCTCAGCACCACAAAAGCCAAGTCTAGAATTTCAGTGATTATTGATAACAAAAAGGAAGTCAATATAAAGTAATGAATCATTTTATGCAGTATATACAGAGAAAATTATGTAAATAAAATGTGCAAAAAGCAAACCACAAAATACAACAGATTTGATTGAATTCCTATGCAGGTAGCCACAGTAACAGTTTGGTAATATTCAAGGTAAAACATAAAGTAACATAATACATTTAAGGAATTCTGCCCATGCTTACAGAAAAACAAATGCTTTATTGCCATCAGTCCACAGTAAGCTACATAAAAAAATGGAATTCTAATGGAAACTTGTATAATACCATAGCTATATTAAAAACATATAAAACATAATAATAAAATGAAAAACATTATAAAGGTTTTCTCTTTATATTAAAAAACCTAGAAAGAAATAATTACCGTCAAAGTTAAGTAAATTATCAGTCCCGAAGCATGAAAATCTGACATGACAGCTAGACTCCAGGACTCTCTCCACCAAAGGCAGGCACTGTGTTAGTCATGACTTTCTTCAAACAAACTGCCCTCAGACTCACCGAGGACATTACTAATTCCACATTTTAAAAGAGATTTTACCTCTTGTTTTATAGTATTCTATTAAGCTTTAATTCACCCACACACTGGTAAAGTAATAGGGTGTCAGTTCAAAATCTTAAGCCTACATGCACCTGTACCACCTGCCCCGCATAAACCCTGCAAGTGATGTATTGATAAAGAAATAAAATCGACAGTGTGCCGCCTGGGATCAGAGCTCGGGGACTCTTCTCCTGGCCCACTGTCCAGAGAGCTGGAGTGGGGTCAGGACAGGAGAACTGAGAACAGGGAAGTTTCTTTAACCAGTCCCATGTTGGTTGCCCATAACATCCTGCTTTCTCCTCATACAACCTTTCGGTTGTATAATATACATGTTCTTAATTCTTCCTGTCATGACTCCTCTAAACTTTTCCTACAAAGATTATGTTTGCTGCCCCCGTTTTCTCCAAGCCCTTATTTTCTCAGCTGGTGGTGAGCCAGGATGACGTCCCCTAGTGATATTTCCTCAAGTCTATAAAGTTAAGCTGTTAATGTTATAGTAGTGTCTTTGTTGCTTTTGACTCACTGGTTACAGCAGTAAGAAATTTAAAGCTAAAAATCAACGGGGAGAATGCAAATTTGTCATCTGATTGCTCACGTAATCTATGCCTTCTTAACACTTGGAAAGAAAACTCTACGGTCCGTGGCTGTGAAATTTCTATCTGCTCTGTGGTATCTGCTGCCAGGTTCTACTGCTGAGATTTTAAATCTTCACTGTTCTCTGGATGCCCAAGTTAAATGCAAATGAACTTTTTCTTTTGTTTCATTAATACCACTTATTACATCTTTGTTTTCTGTTGTATTAATCTAATTTTTTGGAAACAACCTCAAAGTTACAGAAAAATTCTCGAGTGTGGTAAGAGTAACAATATACCTGAACTACTTGAAAGTAAACTGGGAACAAGATGTCCCAACATCCCCAGAATACGCTAAGTATTTCCTACAATAAGGATATTCTCTTACATAACTACAATACAACCATCAAAATCAGGAGACTAACACTGGCACTTTACTGTTGTCTCATCCTAGACTCCATTCCAACTTCACCAGCGTCTCAGTAACGTCCTTTACAGCAAAAGGACCCAGGCAGGACTCTGTGTTGTATTTAGTTCCCTTCCTTGATCCTCATATTTTTGAAGTTATTTTTCAGAACGTTCCTCAATTTGCATTTGCTGTTTCCTCATTATTAGATTTGGATTATGGAGTTCTGGCTGAGTAACTCAGAAGTGGTGCTGAGTTTTCAGTCCACGACCAGGTGGCACACAGCTGTGACGGGTCCTATGACTGACGACATCCACTCTGACCAGCTGCCAGGCTTCTCCAGGGTCAGGCCACTCTTCTACTTTGTAATTAATTCACAGGGGGCGGGGGGGTTCTGAAACAATGAACAGTCAGTTCTCCTTGTTCTCCGGGGTTACGTTTCACAAAATTGCCGTGAACTCGGCATTAGTGGAATATTAGAATGCTTCTCCCAGGGGACATATAGGGTTAGAGCCCTGTGAGCCTTTAGCACATTTCCATCAACTGATCAATACATGACCTTCTTTATGTGTGTTTCTGTTGAAAATGCCTCTCTCAGTAAGTACATAGACAATTCATTAACATTGAACTTATGGCTAACAGTGCTATAGCTCATGTCTGAACAAAGATAATTTTCATGTATTTTCTCCACAGGGCACACCATAGCCTTCATGCACTTAGGGACACTACATGACACTTCAGTACTATGTTAGAGACCATTTCAAACAGCGAAGTCACCAACAAGCTGCACCAAAAATGCCAAAAACGTGGCCCTTAAGCAGACTGTGAAAAGGAAATGTGCACATGCACATATCGGATTAATTACTGTTTATGATACTGACAGTTATTTCTGTACCTACCGATAGGCTGAAAACCACAAGTTCACAACGATATCTCTTGTTCCGGAACACCATGGGGCACATTCCTATTTTCTCCTTTTTTGTATTCGTAATTCCCTTTCCAGATAACAGAAAACCTTAAACCTGTCTCCTTATCAGATCAGCCCCTGCAAGTAGCTGACCTCTTGTTGCTGTCCTCTTCTCCAACCCCTCAGAGACCCCTTCTCGCCCTGCTGAGCTCTGACATCTGGCGCCCTCTGTGAGGACCCCCCACCTCACACATCTGGGCCACCTCAGCCTGACCCGCACCATGTCCTCGGGCAGGAACGCCCCTGTCCCGCTCTGGGCCCTGCGGCTCCCTGCGTCACCCATGAGGACGCCTACATTGCTTGTTAGCTCCTACTGTCTTCTGGGCTCAATTGTTCCAGAAGGGTTGAAAAGAAGAGGAAGGATAACACGTACAACTTTAATAGCTTAATTTTCTATTCACTATCTCCTTAGTATTTTTAACTGTATTTTAAAAAATAGAGATCATTAAGCAATTTAGGTCCTGAGGTTGGGTCAGTAATTTTAAAAATTTAAGAAATCAATACATTGTGGCAGAAATATGGTATAAACATCCTTTGACCTTCATGTAAATCCATTATTTTATACCCTTGAAGCTCTTCCTTTAGTTGACAGTTCTGCTGTGTGTTATTAGGAACATAATCGTGTGCTCAGTGGAGCACTAGTGACAGCAGCTGATTGGACCCCGTCGGCTCCCGTCAGTCCCCATTTGGCCTTGTATTGGTAATACTGGAATGGCTTTGTCAGGATTGTAGTTAAATAGGTAACTTTATGGCTCCTAAATTTTTTCTTCAATGTAACGTTTCTAGTTAAAAAAAAAAAAAACCCCACACAACCCATGATCATAAATGAGATCTTAGTTTCTCTCTCCTAGAAAAAAAAGTTAAGATGATTTCCTTCACGCCATCAGGAATATGTCACTCTTTCTCCATGTTACATTAATATCTGTAAAGAGCGCTGGTTGCTACTCTTTTTCCCTCCAGAGCAGGGGTAACAGACACATGGCAATACTTCCTCCTCCCACACTCACTACTGTATCTGGGTAGAAGCAGATCTGAAAAAAGGAAGCCCTTAGCTAGACCTTAAGCTCCTGGAACCAATCAGCACGTGTGTCACTAGCACACCCCACCTCCTGGCTCGCGATGGAGAGGTGAACGGATGGATAAGTATGGTACTGGCAACGCGGCTGGGACCTGCTGTCCTTTCATCTCCATCCTCTCTTTACAGAGAGTATTCCAGGTGTCCCATATTCAATGAAAAAAAATTTAAATCCTTCAATTTGAAATCAGACCATTCTCACTGGAAACTGTGAACAGACTAGCCGCTGATTACTTCCGGCGTGAAAGATAGCACCCTACCTCTGCACTCGGTACACGCGGGTCCACGGAGGCACAAGGGCAAGGATTCGGGCCACCAGTTCGATCAGGTCACTGGGAGAGTAGCTTTTATATCTTCCGGACTTCCACAGCTCATAGAGCCCAGTTCCACGAATCACCAGGGTAGGGTAGAGTTTCAAACCATCAGGACGAAAGGCAGGGTTCTCAAAAAACTCCTGTGAACAGAGAAAATGATGTCTCCATGAATTATGCAGCGATTACCCATGCTGAAGTCTCGATCCTGGGCCAGCATCTCTCACACACCCGGTCCTTACACTGCCTTTCCTTCCCATCAAGCGAGGGGAGGCAGACAGAATAGAGACTCCTTGTTTTAACAGCCTTCCTGCAGGGAAACACGGGTGTGCTGGGTGACCACGCCCTCGCTGACTCAGCCCCTGTCCACAGCTGTGGTCTCATCCCATGCCACCCACCTTCGCCCCTTGCTTTCCTGCCCTCAAAGGTAGTTTCCTCTGCCTGGAACTTTCATCTGTTTTCCTTCATCGAGCTAACCTTCAGGTCTCAGCTCCAACGCCAAATCTTCAGAGAGGTCTCCCTGACCTTCAGATACAAGTTGCTTCAATTAAAAAAATTGTGCTTTCTTAACATCCTCACACCGACCATTTGTCTGATGCCTGCCCGAGCCTCCGGGCTGTACCCTCCTTTAATAATGGAATACATGTAACTGTTCAAACTTTTAAAAGTTGTGTGACAGATCATCATCTGGCTTCCAAAACCTGAAATGTTTATTATATAGCCTCTGCAGAACAAGTATGTTGACCCCTGGGTATAACTATTTTGTCCCCAGGCCAACTGGTACCATTCCTAACCTGGGATACACACTGTCCATTTGTTATCTGGACACTGAGCGATACATCTAATTCATCTACTTTGACACAGTCATTTCCTGCACTGTATCATCCCAGCTGGCTGACTTATTTCTTTATTGAGGCTGTAGCAGGGACACCAGGCATTTTCCTTTCCATGATTTTGCACTGGGAATTTGCTCTTATCTTGATTTTGCTTGGTATGTGATGGAGGAATGAGGGTGGACCCGCACAGCTCCCTCTCACCCCGACTCTGGCGTCAGTATCTGCACGGCCAGCTGTACTACGGTTTATGAACCATGAAAATGCTTTTTTATCTTGTGCAACGTTATTCTTACAGAGCTTCCCATTGTTTAACTCGCTTTTCTAAGAAATCTAACTACAGAGTTTTCGATCTCTCTCATTGATTTCTGTCATAGTCTTCAGTGCTGTAATCTTTGTGCATCATTTGCTCTTAGGGATATTCTTCTGTAATTGCGTGTAATTTCCGCTGTAACGTTTATATATTAAAGATTCATCAGGTCTTTAATCAATATTCTACAGCTATCCACAAAGAGGATGTATACAAGTCACTGTCACTAGTCTGCATCCATACTGGGACATATTTCAGTGAATTACTTCTGGTCACTTGTATGACAAATTTAGGTAGAAGACAAACAGGCTCACATACTTCTTTTGTAAGAATGATGACAGATGAAATTAGTTCTGGACTTCTGGTTAAACACGGAGAATTAAAATACATGTTTCTTTCCTTTCCCTTCAAAATCACACTAAAGGAGAAATCAGTGATGGCAATAAATTTTTGAAGACAGAAAATGGATGGAAGATTGGTAAATGACTTTGCAAGTGAAGAAAACTGCAAACAAACTATCTGCAAAGGGGGCTGCCGAAGGGAGGGCAGCTCAGTCACACCAGGGTCCCAGCAAGGTTCGTGGTCAGGAGTACTGGGAACCGGGCAGGATGGAAGGGAGCACTGCTCAAGTCTGTTCATGGAGGGATTTATCCCTATTCCCTAGTCCTTGTACAGGTGGTCACCTGCCTGTCTGCTCCCTGGAGAAAGTAGAAAGCTGCTGGGTTTCCAGATTCCAGACACAAAGGAAGACGTGGGAGAGGATCAAAGCTGAAAACAGGGAGATTAAGTGAAAGTCAGCACAGTGACTGGTGGACTTCCCGCCCTGCTCCCTGGGTGTCAGCAGCCAATTTTCTGTGACCTACGCACACCACCCACCCACCAAGAAGAAGCTGGAGAGTCATCTCTGGATTAATCAAATGGCTCTACGTAAGAGTTCAAGACACTGACATTTGGAAATCCTCTAAAGAAAGGAGGGTTTATTACATGAAGATCCTTCAGTGAGGCTTATCAGCAGGTAGCCACAAAGAGCTTGCAATTTGGTTTTTCAGCCCCTCACTCGTAAAGTATGACCATTTGGCTAAGGATTACTGGAAACCTGGGGGGAAGTATAGAACGTGAAGGGTGGACCAAAACAGAAAGAGAAGAAGGCATTGCACAAAGAAAAATAAAACTTCAAACAAACTGTAATTCCTTCAGACAGACAAGATATATTACACTCATAAAACAAGAACAGGATGCTAGAGAAAAACAGAACAAGAATGTAAGAAGGACTCTTGGAAATTAAAACCGTAACAAAAACATCTAATAGGAAAGTTGAAAGGTAAAAGTGAGAAGATAGTAAGAAAGCAGAAAAAAAGATGAAAAACAGAAAAGATAAGAGTATTAGCTAATCAATCTGGAAGATCTAACGTTTGCTTAACAGAAGTGTTAGAACGAGAACATAGAAAATGAAAGAGGGAAAATTATCTAGCAGTACAAGGAAATTTCTCAGATGACAGGGTCCTTCAAAATACAGCACGATTAATTAAAAAACTCTTGCCAAGACATACCAGTGTGAAATTTCACAACATACGGGATGAAAAGACTTTCCTAACATATCCCAGAATTTTTAAAAAAAGGTTATATATGTTATAAAATGTAAAAATAAGGAATATAAGAGAGACAGCATAGCTTAGTGGTAGAGTGTGTGCTTAACATGCATGAGGCCCTAGGTTCAATCCCTAAAACCTCCATTAAAAAAGAAAATAAATAAAACTAATTACCTCCCTTCCCAAAAAGAATAAAAATTTTGAAGAAGGGAATATAGGTTAGGAGTAAGACCGACATCGTGCTTCTTAACAACAGTGTTAAGAGCTCCAAGACAATGATGCAGTGTTTAAAAAAAAATGAGGGAAAACGATTTTATAGAATTCTGTAAGTGTGAAGGTAGAACAGAGACATTTCTGAGCATGCAAAAGGCTGAGTTCACAGGATGAATGCTTTCCTAGAAAGCTGCTGGAGCGTGTGTGTCAGCGAGTGGGAGGAGGCGGCAGGGGCGCTGGAGCGTTTGTAAACGACCTGGATACACTCCAGGGAGAGGAAGGAAGCGGACTGCTGTTTCTCACTGCACGTCTGACAGTACAATTTGACTTTTTAAGTTATGCATGTATTGCTTTCATACAAATAAAAAATAACTGAAAGTGGAATGAAGTTTAAAGTTTTGTTTCCGTAAGATCAACCCTGACCTGGATTTCAGCATCATTCAGGTCATGCATAGTCATTCACAGTAAAACAGACTTCCCTTCATCTAAGAAAGGAAACACAGAAAGGAGCAACAGAAAGGGGGTTTTCCTAAGAGCCTGGTTCTCCTTGAGACTCACCACTGCCTTTAACAGTTACTTAACCTCATCAGGTCTCCTATCCTCGTCTGAGGAGGCTGCAACAGGTGGTCTTTTCTGATATAATTCTACACTTACCTGTATTCTATGACATTACCTTAATTAACAAGCCTTTATATTATATACATGTGTATATACATGTATTGTATGTAAATGTATTTACATGCAGTATATTGCATATGTGCAGTCAAATTGTAACAATTCTACTTAATAAAACTGAAAAATGAAAAATTAAAAGAAAAAAGAAATATGGAAGGTCCATATGTACATTTTCAAAAATAATAAAAATATTATATTAAAAACACCAAAAACAAAACAAAACAAAAACCCAAGCAAAGAAAGAAGTAACAATAAATACCTCTAACCATACCTGCCAAACCATAACTTGATCACATTGGCTTTTGGGAAAAACAGCTCAATGAGGGGTGGGTTGGGGAAGAACCGAGAGTCAAAGGGTAGCAGAACATTAACGGACTTTGAAAGATTTCTCATTACTGACAGGAGATTCTGGAGATAATTTTTCCTCAACAGAAACTGACATTCTTCAAACATTTTCAGCAACCTGAGCTTGGATATCCAGGAGCAGTCTAATTTTTAAAAGAACAAAATACCAAAACAGCTAAAAGTTATTTTGAGTAATTAATGAGTCCTACGTGAGGCTAGGTGGAAAGAGTGAAATTAATGCTCACAGGATCAATTCCTAAGATGTTAAACATCCTCCATCACAATCAGCACTTCCAGCTTTATAAGAAAAAGGAAAACTTCATTTCAAAAATAATCTGAGTTACTGGAAAATATAATAAATGCTGTTTATCACACACAGCTATGAGCACTGCACCTACCACGAGGTAAGAAAATGATTCTGCCACGAACAGACGCAAATGACCAGCGCGCTCTGAGCGATCCGGAACCGACCTAAACCACAAGCTGGGCGATCAAAGCCAACTTAACAACTAACACACGGAGGCACACAACCCTAGGGAACAGCATCTCGGTGGCTGGGCAGTGGCTTTATGGATCCGTGCCAGGAAAGGCTATCCTGTCCTCTACAGATAGAACATTTGTAGACTTCCACAGTTATATGAGCAGATCTCTTACCAAGCAACCCTTTTGTTCCTACGGAACAAAATACACTACGGGAACTGTATCTGTGGGTTGCTAATAATGTGACAATAAAATAAAGTAGGGAAAAAAGGTTTTAAAGTGTAAAATATATTGCCTGCTAATTCAGGAAAAGTTGTGAATTCCAAGTAGGCCCAAACAAGACTTCCAAAACAAAAACTAGTTTTGAAAATGTTTCTGTGAACTTTTAACTGAAATACCTCTTAGGTACAGAAAACTACACAAGACGTAAGTGTACATCTTGATAGGCGTTTACTAATCATGTAACCAGCACCTAGACATTCAAATCAAGAAAAACAACATTATCAAAGCCTCGGAAGCCCACAGCATGCCTGTTTCAAGTTGCAGTTCCACCCAAAGTTTTTGAACTTTACATGAACAGCACTGTACGTTAGGCAGTCTTCTGGATCTGGTTTCCTTTGCTCAATATTGTATTGAATAGTCAGCCATGTTGTTGCATGAAGTCATTAATTAAATCATTGTTTTACAGTATTCCATTGTTTGACTACACAACTTATTTCTGTATTCTACTGTTAATGGACACATGGGTCATTTCCACTCTGATGATAACAGTAATTTGTGTCCGTGTCCTTGGGTAAACATGTGTGTTCATTTCTGTTGGGTCTATACATAGGAGAATTGCTGGGTCATGATGTATGCGTATGTTCACTTTAAGTAGATACTGTCAAACAGTTTTCTAATATGATGTACCAATTTATATTCCCACCAGCAGTAAATGAGAGTTCCAGTTGCTCCATACTCTTACCAACAACTGATACTGTCTTTTTTCATTTTAGCTATTATTAGCTATTCTGGAGAGTATACAGTAGCCATGCACTGTAGTTTTAAATTTCATTTCTTTGAAGATTAGTGACTTTGAGAACCTTTAAATAGTTTTATTGACTACTTGAATATCCTATTTGTAAAGCACTTGTTCAAGTGTTTTTTGGCCCATTCTATTAGGTTGTCTGTCTTCTTAATTGATTTGTAAAAAAATATTTATTTTAAAGCAATCTATAAATTTTCAGAGAATTTTTCTCTAGAGAGAAAACAGGTTTCTTGTTTTAGCTCTATTTTGTTACTTATTTGCTGGCATGCAGTTAGAAAAGGCATATATGGTCTACTTATATTCCCTGGGGGTTTCTTTGAAAAGATTATAAACAAGCAGTTAAATCTTTTTATATGAAGGAGCTGTCTCCGCAATATTACTTTCAAACTATTCTTTATTTTGAAGACATTAAGGAAAATGAATAGTGAGACTCAGCAATTCGCTATTACTTGACATGTTTTTTCCAAGGGCACTTAGAGTTATAAATTTTGGCTATACCTAGGAACTGTACTAAGAAAAGTATGTTTCAGGCGTCTTTTAGGCTTGGAGTCTGAGCACCTGGCTAGTACTACTGAAGGGAAGATAGACTTGAAATCTATTACACAGCCAATATGGGGGATCAGTAACATCTGTGAATTAATGTTGTCTTATAAATAGGCCTTTAGTTATAATTCATTGGCTTAAAAATAATAAAAGAAAGATTATTAACTTCACAAATAAGGCATCATGAATACCACTGTTCTAATAAACACAGCAAAATAAAAGTATTTTTGTGGGTGAAATAACTTGATAAACATTTTTCATCCTCTACTGTAAAAGGATATCCCTAAGCCACTTGCCCTATCTGAGAATCTGCAGGAAAAAAGAATTTTGACCAATCTCATTTCCCAAGACAAAGCTAACATGGATCAAGCAAGTACGTGAGGAGTCAAAACAAAGAAACCAACCCCAGAGTTAGGTATTAAAATCCAAAGAACAAAAAGGCTGGGAGAAAACAGAATATTTTCCTTCACTGTTTAATTAAATCCTGGAAGAGAAAGGCAGTTCTAAGCTTAGAAGCACTGAAAGAAATTGTCACTAAATAAATAAGTAAGTAAGTAAATACTACAGGTTTAACAACAGAACCAAAGTAAAAGGATAAAGGTAGGTTGCGGAAAATAGTTTTAATATAAAAAACAACGAATCCACAATGTCCTTACCTAGAAAGTTCATCTAAGATTAAAAATATTATATCCAATAGAGCAATTGGTCAGAGGACAAAAACACATAATTCCAAAAAGATGAAAGACTCATACTTATTAAATACAAACCTGAAAAATGTATTACTTAAAATTACAAAATGCAAGTTGAAATGGCACTTTTATTCATCAAATTAACAAAGATAAAAGAACTATTTGGGGGAAAAGACAACCCTGCTGAAATGAGTATAAATTGTGACAACCCTCGGAAAAGCAACCAGGCCACATGGGAAGATTCTCAGAAGTGTTTACACCTTCACCTGATAATTCTACTCCAGGGAATTTATCCTGAAGAAATCATCTTAAATTCTGCAAAATGCTACAGGCATAAAATTGCTTACGTGCAGTCTACTTACAATATCAAAAACTGGTTTTAAAAAATTTGGAAGTGGTTAAGCAAAGTATGGCATATTTATTCAATGGAAATTAGGCAGGCATTTGAATATGTTAACATTTTCATTGACACCAGGCTATAAAATGAATAAATGCTTGTTTTAATGTTATGCAAAATAGCTATTAAAATAATTACCTATCATATATGCAAGTTTAAGTGTGTCTGCGCATATATACGTATAAACCACCTCATCCCCTTAAAAAGCCTAAGTGTAAAAAAATCCTGGGAGTGTATTAAAAAATTAGGGTTTTATTTGGTGACGGGGAAATGACTTTTCTTTCTCTATGTGTTTCTACTATTCTTTGAGGCTGTATTGCTTTAATAATGAGGGAAAAAAGTCAATAGTAAATAATCAGAAAGAGCAGAGGGTAGGAGCAGCACGCAGAGGAGATTCTAAGGTAGCTTGGCTTATGGCAGGACTTACTGTAAACTGTTCAATGTCTCTCTCTAGTCCCACGTTTGGCAGATCCGGCATCATATGAGCCACAACTTTGAAACCAGAATCTTTGGCCAGGTGAAATGACTCACATACTGCCTTCACCGTGTGGCCCCTGAGGAAAGAAAATTCACTGCCTGTTACACAAATAAATGGGCAACAAGCTTAGTACAAGGAACAGAGGGAAAACAATCTCTGAGACATGTAACAGCAGGTCCATAATGAAGAATGGCATGGTTGGGGGGAAAGGAAATCTTAGAATGTCATTTTTACATCTCCATCTCTGAGAAAGTCTGGAAAAAATAATTTTTACTTCTGACATATTTCTCAGAAATTCCCTTATGTACCTACTCAAAGTTCTGAACAGTAAATGAGGTAACAGGAGTTAATGAATGTCGAAATTATTTGGTTTAGCATCATTGACCAAAGTAAGCTTGCTAGTGTAAATATCTAAGTTAAAACGAGAATAAGGAGCTCAAAACTATGCAGAAGCAGCACCTTGTGATGCTCTTTCCTTTAAATATCTTTTTACAAGTAATTTTATTTGGAGAGAGAGAGGGAGAGAGAGAAAAAGGGAGAGATACACCTATACACAAAGCAGATTTCACTATGGTGGGTTGGAGGGTCCTAGAAAAAGAAGAGAGAATGACTTAGTGACAAGGCAGAATCATCTGGGGCC